TCAATGAATTATTAATATTTCCTTTTTTAAACGTGCAAAATGTGCATCTTTGTTTAATGGCTTCTAGATGATCTTTTCATGCAGTGGCGGAGTTAGGATTTTTAATAATGGGTTCAAAAATCTGAAGAACTAACACACAAACTAAGTTCGTGTATGATATCTGTGTACATCTAGATGCTTGTATGGATGTCGTTATATTTAGCGGCAAATAAAAGATTTTGCGACAATTATTTAGCGATAATAATATAATTGTCGTTATATTATATTAACGATAATAATAAATATGAACATTTATAACTAATACTCTAGATAAATATCACTAAATGCTTTAACGATATAGTGACATTAACTCAATTATCACTAAATATTTTTGCGTTAACCAATATTGCCACTAAATATTTGTCTTGTTGTAGTGGACGTCAAAGTGGAAACACTAATAGTTACTTAAGCGACAATTGCCATTTCGATGTGGCCCTGAAGGCAATAAAATTTGCTTTAAAAAGAGTAATATTTCAAAAAATATAGTTTTTACCTTGCGACCCGAACCAAAGATAAGAATTTAATTTACATCACAAAATTCCGACAATGCAGACATCCTACTTTTTGTTTCTATACTGATTTTTTAATTTTATCTCTTAAGGTAAATAACTGTTTTATTAGGTATATATATATATATTTGCATCATAATAGCATAAAATTTATGTTCCACACTTTTAAAAAACTTATATTTCTACTAAATATATAAATTCAATTGCTTATAAGTAAAAATAAAAATCCAAGGGGATTGGGGGGGGGGGGGGGGGGGATTTCGTACAAGTTCAGTAGTTTGCACAAATGACACTCAACAATTTAACTTATATTTAAAACGTACAAAAAAAAGGTGCTTCTTTCATTTGATTCCTTACAAATCCAAGTGGAAAAAGTTTCAACTTTTTTGATGATTTGATTGTAACATACCTTGTGTAAATGGGACAGGGCGGCTTAAATACAGGTCGTTTGATAGAGTGTATAAAAATAATATTTTATAGAGTGTATTAGTAATACTTGTATTAGTTATACATATATTATTAACATGCATTGTACAAAAATATCCTCCACAATTGTGATGAATAAGATGTAAAATGAATTTTGAAGAGTAATTGTGTCTTTAAAATGCTAATACATTCATTAAATTTGAAAAGGCTAATGCATGCATTAATTTTATTAATATACTCTACCAAACGACCCGTATATATGGTCTAAGGCCAAAATTAAATGAGAGGTCTTAACTTATAGAAAAAAAGAATTATATTTTCATTTGAAGTCTGTATTTTAGCTTTTGAGATTGTAAAGTTGTTAATATTTTTTTTATAATCACTTTCTATTAATATAATTGGGAGTCGTTTGGTAGCTGATTAGAATTATGCAAGTATTAATAAGGAGAAACAAGTTGCTAGATAATTAGACATATTTTACTACCATATATACTAATTATTACTTATACTTTCATAATATCATGTATTTTACCATTAATTAAGAATTTCCTATCATATATCGAGGAAGATACACTTAGATACATGTACTTCTGCTATCAGATACACTAAAATAGGGAAAGAGGCGGGTGGGATTTGTTATGTATCCAGATACATGCGAATCACACTATGTACACACACTACATACATGCATGTTTCTGTATGTATTTGATGTTATTCGTATGTATCTGGAGAGTAGCGAGCAAGATGGGAAAGAAGCGGACGAGATTTTTTATGTATCCCCAATACACACGAGTCCACTTAGATACGATATTTCTAGAACAATTATATCTAGTTTTGAACCTATGTATCCCGAGATACATGTATCTAGACACATCAAAGTCTAGTGAGATACGTAATGTTGCAAATTAGAGTGTATCTAAGTATTAGCTCCTAAACTAGTGAGATTTATGTAAGTTTCCCTAATAATAATGCAAATATTAGTTATATATGTATTAGTTATATGTACATATTAATTATGTGGATATTAATTATTCGACCTTCTACCCGCATAAGGTAATACACCCAGTTCTCCCATAACTTATACATATATTTTTTATGCATGCTTTAAAATTGCAAACCAAATGCCGTATTAATTTTGTAATGAATAACTTATTTTCTAACTAGCTATCAAATATCATATAACTTATACAAAAATTAATATATAAACATAAGCCGCCTCTTTACTAGCCGGGTCATTTGCAATTGATGCTAATTGTTGACAGGTGGAATGATTCATTCAACTTCCTCGTTACTAGCCGGGTCATTTGCAATTGATGCTAATTGTTGACAGGTGGAATGATTCATTCAACTTCGATATCAACAATGAAGACACCCTAGTACAATTTCAATGAATTATTAATATTTCCTTTTTTTAAACGTGCAAAATGTACATCATGGCTTCTAGATGATATTTCCATGTTTGGTTCCTTCTACAAATTGTGTGGTCAAGTTTCAACATTATATAAATTTTAAGAAAACATTTTAGGAACATTGATTGGGACCTCGATATGGAAGTGTTCATTATCTTTTCAAGTTATATTTTATAAAATTAAAACGATATATAGAGAAAAATTAGTATAATCCTCTATGACAATGATATAAACAAATTAATAAGGATATTCATATACATAGATGGAAAAATTTGTTGTTTATTCTTTTGAACTGGTATACACAGATTATATCCTAATCATACATGATCGTATATACATACATAAATTATACATTTGTTGACTATTTTTAATTTAATCAATTAGGTGGATGATTATTTTGATTAATTCTTCAATTAATTGATTAACAATCCAAATTAAAATTTCTTCGTTGAAATTAGTGGTGATAATTGGGCGGGTAGGTCAAATTTGGATGGGTCATAATGAATTAAGAACCAACCTAATCCAAATTTGCTTGGATCACAATGGGTCAAGTGATGGGCCATATACACATATATCTGAATAAAAGTTCATGAATATGAGTTAAAGAAATCTAAATTATACTGAATTGTCAAAAAGAAGAGGAAGAATTTTAATTTTTCTGATTTTTTTAGGAGTTGTGATATTTCATATCTTCTAAAGTTGTTACAAGCTTGGTTTTCTCCTTAACTTTAATGTCAAATTATACTGAATCGTCAAAAACAAGAGGACGAATTTTAATTTTTCTGATTTTTTTTAGGAGTTGTGATATTTCGTATCTTCTAAAGTTGTTACAAGCTTGGTTTTCTCCTTAACTTTAATGTCTTTCAGTTATGGTAAGGAACATAGTATTACAAACTAGCGTGAATCTAAGTAATTAACTCCTAAAATAGTGAATTTGTGTAAGTTACCCAATTTTTAATGATTTGAAATAGGTTGGACTAAAATGAGTTAAGTTAATAAATGGGCAGAACAGATTGATAATCCACCCAAACTTAAATAGATGAAATGAATTGAATTTGATTTTGACACGTCTAATTAAAATAAATTAATAATAGCATTTACCGCCTCATGTGACTTTTTCGCTAGTAAAAGTATAAACACAAAAATTAGATAACGAAATAAAAGATAAACAAGTTTAGTTGTAAAAAATTAGAGTACTTGTACTTTTAAAATGTTGATAAATTTAGTTTTATTGTAAAAGGCATGCGTCTTGATAACGAAATAAAAGATAAACAATTGAGATTTTTAAAGTATAATTTTAAATATTTCTTAATATTTTTGTGACTATTAAAACTTCTCATTAGAGATCAAATAAAAAAATTAAGTCAAATTAGCTATCATTTTCTTAGAACAAAATAATGAAAAATATTATTTCACATAAATAGAATAGTCAAAGAAAATATCATCAACATAAAATAGATAGTCAAAGTAAAAGAGAAGGAAATGAGGTTACTTAAGCAATTGCAACATATTATGTTTTTGATGTTTTCCAACCGTAAAACAAGTCATGCATTTAGACAAAAAGATATAAATAGAGGGTTGTTAAAAATCACCCCCTCCCCGCCCCCCCCGGCCCCCCAAACCCACTCCCTCTCTCTATCTCTATCTCTCTCTCTCTTTTTTTTTCTTCCTTATATTCATAATTATATGGCTATAAAACTTTTGAATAATATCCTTTTGTTTTTTGACCACAAATGTTTCGTGGTTTTTTTATAAACATTTTGAATTTTAATTATTATCGATTTTTAGTACTTTTTACATAATTTTTTAATATGAATTTTTTTTAATTAAAAATTATGTTTAAATTCATAATGATCAAAATTAAGAAGTTAGACTCTCAAAATTTAAAAAAAAAAGTGCCACATATATCATCAGGACTAGGAAAATATTTTAAACACTGATTACATTTTTGTATTTATAAAACTTCTTATAAAGACTAAAATGAGAAGTTTAAATTAAATTATTCTCAAATTAAAAAAAGCAAATATCATTATTTTATGAATATTAAAAGAAAATATTGTCACATAAACTTGAGCAATAGAGGTGGTTTCTATTAATCAAAATAACAACTTACCATCTCACTAACAAGTATTGTGGTAGGACAGATAAGATCCCTTTATTCATTATATCGAAAATAATCTTTAGCGGTAATTAATTAACTTTACAATAGATTAATTGCCGCTAGATATGCTTTTAAATGCAACTAACACTCCCTGTATATGTCCCTAAGGCTAATAGCAACATTAGATCCAATCACAATTAACTAATTAATACCAATAAAGATTTTAACACTCTTTGTTAATGTGCATATTTATTATTGCTAAAAATTATTTCAAATTTTAGATTCGAGCCGAATGTTTTCTCCTTAATTGGACCTTATGGAGCATGAACTCAAATTAATTAATAGAGCTTCAATATGTATACCGAACAACTAATGAAAAGCCCAACAAAATAAACACAACCAACCATCTCATGAAATGAGGCTCTATATAAGTAAGTATATCCTATTCCCAATTTCATGCAACCCTCTACATAAACAACTAACCTTGTTGGTCCCCAATTCCTATATATTTTCAAAAGATTTATACACCTGAGATAACAACCTAGCATTTTTTTTTAGTGTGTGTAAGACTAGACATTATGGCATGTAATATTAATGTTGAATCTATTCTTGGACAAGGAATTTTTGCTACTACATCAAGCAAGAAGTTGCAAGCCTTCCCATCTCATAACTACAAACCCAATGTTATTTCTTGTGTAGCTATTGGCCCAACTCATAAAGTTCCCCAATTACCATGGAAGTTAGTTTTCCATGAAAAAGAGAGACCATTATTAAGCAATGAAAAATTTGGGATTTATGGTGGAAAATTTGTCCCTGAGACATTAATATCTCCTTTAACAAAGCTTGATTATGAATTCAACTCCGCTTTGCGCGATCCTCAATTTCAGGTTTGTTAAAATGAAAAGTTTAAAGTTAAATTTGTGATTGTTTCTTTCGTTTTAATTTGTTTGTCTGATTTTGTCAGATGGATCTTCAAGTAGCATTAAAGGACTATGTTGGTCGTGAAACTCCTTTATACTTTGCCCAAAGACTCACAGATTATTACAAGAGCCTTAATAAAGGGATAGGACCAGACATATATCTAAAAAGGGAAGATCTAAACCATGGTGGTGCACACAAAATCAACAACGCTATTGCACAAGCTATGTTGGCTAAACGCATGGGTTGCAAAAACGTCGTGGCGTCCACCGGTGCTGGACAGCACGGTGTCGCCACGGCGGCTGCTTGTGCAAAACTCTCATTGGAGTGCACAATATTCATGGGAACCTTAGATATGGAGAGACAACCTTCCAATGTACTCTTGATGAACCATCTTGGTGCAAAGGTACATCCTTTTTTTCACTAATCAAAATTATAAAACTTTTTGAAGTTAGATGTCTACATTAAAGCTAAGTCACACATAATAAACATGTGCTCTTTCTAACACTTCAACATAATTGTGTGACTTTAAATTATTTTACTAAGGTTAAAATGAAAAGTTTAAAGTTTATTATTTCAGGGAAAAGTATCATTCTTTTATAGACAAAATAAAAAGAATAGCACACGTGCTACATAAAATATATGTTCCTTGGACTCTTAAAAAATGTTAACATGTGCGCGTATGATTCTTCAAAGATAATGCATTTTTGTTGGATCCAATAAAAATGCGACAACATTTTGCACACGATTTTTGTGGATTCAAATTTCACCGCGATAGATGAAGTAAAAGTTATTATTGAATACTCACGCAGGTGAAATCTGTCAAAGGAAGTTTCAAAGATGCAATGTCAGAGGGTATTAGAAATTGGGTTAATGATTTGGAAAGAAGCTATTTCTTAGCAGGTGCAGCCATAGGACCTCACCCATGTCCAACCATGGTTCGTGAATTCCAATCAATAATTGGAAAAGAGACTAGGAAACAAGCCATGGACAAATGGGGTGGCAAACCACATGTGTTGGTGGCTTGTGTTGGGAGTGGCTCTAATGCATTGGGATTGTTTCATGAATTTATACAAGATGAAGATGTGAGACTAATAGGAGTTGAGGCCGGTGGGACCGGTCTTGATTCAGGTAACGAATCTAGTGTAATGATTATGAATTCATGTAAATATAATACTAATTAATTTTTTTCTAGACTAACTTGATATAATTATAAATTCTGAATCTATCACGACAGGTAAACACTCAGCAACTATGGCTAGGGGTGAAGTTGGAGTGTACCATGGTGCGATGAGCTATTTATTACAAGACGAAGAAGGCCAAATAATTGGACCACATTCCATAGGTGTGGGGTAAGTTTTCACTTTCAATCTTAAATAATTCAGTGTCATTTTTCATCGACGAATTTCAATCACATATAAATGATCGATCAAAAAGATATCAACCACCTTGGATTATTTATAAGATAATATATAGTAATAAATAAATAAATAAACATTGACAACATGATAAAAATGACAACACACAAGCTATGACGTGTCAAATTACATTAATAATATAAAAAAAAAAATTAAATTATCAAGGTGTGTATGATTTAAATAACATTCTTAATTTTAAGCAAAATATTGTTTGACCATGCAGATTAGAATATCCAGGTGTTAGTCCAGAGCTTAGCTATTTGAAAGATATTGGGCGTGCTGAGTTTTCTACCGTAACAGATGAAGAAGCTATAAAAGGTAATTAAATTATCTTAAATAAGTATTTTTTTTAATAAAGAATTTAATTTATGTATACTAATAATATAAACTTATAAGTAACATTTATTTCTCGTTTGTGTTGCAGCATATAAACGATTGTGCAGACTAGAAGGGATATTTCCAGCCTTAGAATCTTCTCATGCTCTTGCATTTCTAGACAAACTTTGTTCTACTTTAAAGGATGGTGAAAAAGTGATTGTTAATTTAAGCGGTCGCGGAGATAAGGATGCTGAGGCGGTCTTCAATCATACAGTACCAAAACATGAATGAAAAAAGAAATTTTAGATTTTTTTAGGTTAGAATTTATAAGTAAAATAACTTATTTCCTTTTATGTTAATACTCGTTAGTTCTCTATGTATAAATAATAAGTTATGTGATGTAGGCCTCTAAGTTGATTGAATGCAAATTAAAATTATAATGTAATGAATAGTACAATAATAAGTTTAACACTCACTTTTGATTCTATCATCATATGATAAATTTAATGACATAATTTCAAGGGTTAGGAATGAAAGATGGAACTAGTCATACACATGGAATTTCAAGAGTCATAATCTAATATATCCTTCCATTATAGGCCAAACATATACCTAATCTTTTTAATTTGTTCCTAAATTTTATTTTTGATACTCCAACTCAATATTATTTCATTTAATCCTCCAATTCAGTTTCTAATATATCATTTAAATACAAAATATTGACTAGACAAATTAATGAGATTATTAATTTTATTGATGCCACATAAATTGAAAACGATTAATATATTCACAGTAACATAAACTTGATTTTATATTAACTAGTGTTACTAATCGATCTCAACAATAAATTTTGTAATCAATTGAGTATAGATAATAATATATGTTCTTATATTGCTTAAAGATGATAAATTGATACCATTAATGTAAATGCCAAGTAAATTTGGATGACTTGAAGAAAATACAATGCATGATGTTATTTGATTAGTTTGTTTTTTTTTACCTTTTTAATAATTATCTAACACGCGTTGGACACTTAAACTATAGGTAAAACGTTTTATATTTAAATGGTACATAAAAAATAAAGTTGATGGATTAAAATGTCAAACTAAACGTTAAGGCAAATTAAAAATGTTGTGTATGTATTTGACCTAAGCTCATATATCCATAATAAAATTTACACTATTGCCCAAGTCTATATCATTAGTACATAAAGTGATTCATGATCATACATACATTGTATATCATTAGTTGATGTGATAACAGAGTTTGAATTTGTAAATTACAATATTCAACTTGCATTCAAAAAATTTATCCTGCCCTTTCTTCAGTCATAAAATTAACATGTCTAGTTGATTTCTTAGGTCTTCAACATTATTTTATGGTTCACAAATCACTATCTTATCCTTTTTTGGGAAAACATTAGATGACACGATACCTGTTTTTCAAAATGACAATGACCAAAAAAATATATGAGTATGTACAATCACCACTTTATATAAATGTGGTTAAAGAAATTAAAAAAAAATTAAAATATTAATTTTATTAAATTTTAACATGGTGATTTAAATATAATTAAAATATCAATTAAAATAAATTAAAAAAATATTCCGCAAATAAATACATAAAATAAAATAAAAAATTTATCGTAAAGAAATAAAGAATAAGAATTTTTTTGTTTTATTTTTAATAATAAGAATAAGAATTGTAAGATTTTTATTCTTTATTTTTACACAATATTTTTTTATGAAGCATCACAACTTGGTGTAGAAGGTGACACATACTTGAAGAAATTGCAAATTTTAGCGGTGATCACCTAAATGAATGTCTTGCAAATAATGACTCATGTGTAGAGCCTATGGGCTAGGCCCGTTGGGTCGGCCTGACCTAATCCAATTTGATAGGACTGCTACGATTTTTGGAGCCCATTTAAAAAAATGGCTTTTTAGCCAGGCCTAAATAAATCTGCTGATTTGTGGGGCTTGGGAAATATTGATAGGGTCGGCCCGTGGGCCAAATAAAAATAATAATAAAATAGAGTTTTAAAAATAACAAGAGTCTAAACTCAAAATCTGTTTAAAGTTTGAAATATTACAATTTAAATACAAATTATGTTTATAAAATATGAAATACATAAAATAAAAATTCCCTAAAATTTCTAGAGATTCATTACATAGGTCATATCCTATGGAATATTGTCATAGTTTTTGTATTTTTTTTATGATCATTGAAAAACAATTAGGTTAATATTTCTATTTAGCTATTTATGCTTTTACTTTGAAATCAATCTTAATAATTATTATAAATATAATTTTATTTGTGTATTTGATTAGCAAGTAGTAACACTAACACCATGTAATATTGTCTTGTCGATATTTATGATAATATTTTAAAATTATAATTTAATTAAAAAAATTATGAAAAAAAAAATATTTTTTTAAAAAAGGGTAGGCCCGACAAAGCCCGTAGCCCACGTACTTGTGGGTTGGACCGACCATTTTCTGGTCTACACAAAAAATGAGCTTGCCCGATCTAGTCTGTCAAATTTCAAAGCCTGTATTAGTCCGAATGAAATGGGTCAGCCCATATTGATAGCTCTACAAATGAGATGAAGCTAGAATTATTAAAGAAACATTGAAGTATCCATACCACAAGAGTTTAGCAAGTTGCAAGGATAAAAACTTCATCAATAACTTTAAAGGAATTAATGGATGGGGAAAAAACACTTTACAAGAATTGGCAAATATGGACTACTCTATAACAAAGGAGATACATCAACATGAATTGGCTCATGTTTTGAGGTAAATTAATTGAATTTTACTTCCATATATTGACGATGATTAATTCATTTATTTTTATATTATCAAATCACCCAAAATCAAGATTTTAAGTACTTATAATAATAAGGAATGAATCTTTCGATCAAAAATGTTCCTTCAACCCTTTTCACTCAAGCTGTTAATAGGTATTTTATATGAGCTTTTATTTTATAGATGTTGGTGTAGTTTTTTTAATGTTATTGGTCCACCTAAAATATGTTTATAAATAATCATCATAATAAAATAAAGTAATTCGATTAGATTATTAATTTCAGGTGGGAATCGACTGCCATGATGGACTTAGCAGTATACATGAGGTCACCTAATAAGGCTCTTTATGATACAATTGATTCCATTGGCTACAATATCTACAAAATTTATGGACAACATCCCACTGAAAATTTGCGCAATACATGCTTTTTTGCATTGAATACGACTTGCTCTATGACTTCTTTAGTAAGAATTATATTAGTTAAATCGAATCGGAATAGGGTAAAAATATTTGAAGGAATAGAAAAAAAGAGGATTCTAAAAGCTAAAAATCTAAAAAATTAGATTGTCAGATTCGGAGATAACACTAAGATCTCTGTCTTTTTTCTAAAAGTCTCCGCTCATTACTTATACATAAATAAATTGCTAGAGAACATGTGATTAATCTAATAGGTATAAATATGACTTTTAAAATACAAAAACAAATAGGAACCCGAAAATTGAATGACAAGATTAAATCTGACATTTTTTCCAAACTTAAAAAAGGAGGCAAGAATGTTACGGGAAAATATGTTATAGAGAAAATACGTTATTTTTGTCAACCAAACATAAACATATATTTTCTTATATATAATTAAGACAAAAGATCAGATGCAATAGTAATTATGTCTCAATCTCAAATAATCAATTATATAAATTATCACACCTCATATTATTTTATTTAAGCTCATAAAAATTTAACCACAGAAAAGATTTTGAACATATATATTCGACAGAAATTTAAATAACATCTAGAAATTTATAATACTTCACAATTTATCACAAAAGTTAATTGTTGGAGAAAAGACCTTCTCCACAAGTAAAAGAGCAACCAAAACATTTTTTTTTAAAAGAAAAGAAAAAACTAGATTTAACTAATGAGAATTCAAAGAAATAAAAGAAGGAATTTGTTTACATCAAAATAATTAATTGAAGTCAATACCCGAACCTAATTACTTGAGGTGCGTTCTTGACTTCTTCCCTTTTTCCACAACTACAAATATATGTAAACTCATCCTTCTTTTTCTTTTTCCTCCTACAAATTATAAAATAAAAACACAAAATAGTTAGTTGAGAATATTAATTAATGAATATTATAAAATGATGAAACAATCACATAATTCAATAGTATATGCATACATGTGTGGGTATAAAACTTTTGACCTTAACACGTCATAATAAAATTCATGTGGTATAAATATTTTTCATTAAATATAAAATGAAAAATGCATCAAATAAATTGAAATAGAGAGACGAGCATCTTACCTTAGATTTAGGCTAGGCGTTTTCGCACGTTATGGAAGCTTTGATCCTTTCAACAGTACACTTAATTAGGCTATTAACAGTTGCAACTGATCCAAGAGAAAGTTTTGCTGTTGGGACAGAATCAACTAGTATCTGAAATGCAACGGTCAATAACGAGCCACCAGCAGCATTACTATTCTCAGCATTACTAGAGCCATCAGGGAGTATTGCAAAACCCGAAGGCAAAAGAGCCACATAGTCGGGATCACCACCACTTAACACCACATTCATCGCAGCAATATCAACCGGAGCGTAAATAACATAGGATCCTGTGCTGTCTAGGCAGCTCTCTTGGAGTATCAACATATTATTTTGGCTTGAATTTCCACTCTACAAAAAGAAATTCACAATTTTATTTACAACAAGTTCTGATCGACGATATGATTCTCATAGTCAATGGCACTTCATTAAACTAATTAATGTGAGTCGTTAAAACATCTTTAGAAAATATTGGACCACATGAAGTGAATGTACTAACATGACTAATCTCAACTATATGTATCTATGTTATTGAGATTATTCAAAAATAAAATCTTGTCAGGTGCATATTGAATCAACCAAAAATAAGACGTATTCAAAGATAGTTCCCATTTTCCTTAGTCTACTATGTTAAACGTTCCGATATGAATTTGATAATAATTAAAGAATCTGAGCAATATAGTCAGTAACATTTATATATTTTTCTTACGTTGTACCCATTTTTCTTGATCTATATGCATTCAAAGAGATTATAAGTGTGCCCATACCAAAAAATGGGCTAATTTCATATGAATGTACTAACATGACTAATCTTGACAATTAGTGTCTATGATGCTCAGTTTCTTTGAAAATGTGTGTTGGGCCCTCTATATATAGTATAGTGTAATTTTAAAAGATCAAATACGAATATGATAATATTTTTAAAAAGTCCAAGCAACATAGTTAACATCATATACATATGATATACTACATTTTTTCTTACATTGTATCCCATTATTCTTGATCTACATGTATTCTAAGAGATTCTAAGTCTGTCCAAACCAAAATATTAGCCATTTCATATGATTATTTTTTCTGATAATGAGAAGATTTTAATGTAAAATTGATGAACATAATAGAGAACTTACATTAACGCGCAGTAGTGAGACACTGTTACCAGAATCACGACCATTTGCAATATGTGCCATTTCTTGAACTAGGCCACCATTTGAAAGAATATCCCACTGCAAACATAAAATGGACGGTCAAAATTTGTT